CTCTTGAGCGTCTCTTGCTTGGGTTTCGGTCGAACCTCTTCTGTGGCCGTTTTCTCGAAAATAAAATAATATTTTCGAAAACCAAATACCCAGGGATTCATATCTAATAATGGCCTATCTAACTTCAAAAGAAGAGCGAATTTGATTTTTTGACCCTTGCCACGAATTCTTGAATTTGTTCGATTCTTGTGGACATTGCCTCTTAATCACTTAAACTTAAACTTTATTTACTATAGAAAACACTACGATAAATGCGTTTTTGGCTGTCTTCACTGTAGGTTTTTCGCTATTTTCATCGCATTTTAATTTATTATCGCGGTGTCCTTCCCCATGGCGCCTTTGCTGTTTTCAGCTTGTTCGTATACTGAAAATCATCCTGATTTGATCTTTTTCGATGTTCTTTTACATCAATTGTTAAGTTTAATGTTTAATTCGTCTATGAAGAACACATGATACTTTAATGATTTCAACTTTTTACTGATTTTGAAGGAATTTTTGTCGTCGGGAACTAAACATTTTTCGCTCGCATGGAAGTCATTATATAACTTTGAGCAATCAGGAATCGCATGCTAAAAATAGCTCAGCCTTGCGCGCGGAGCTAAAAATAGATTTTCAAGAAACTTTCATGTTTACAGACCCATGTATGGGAGATGTGCTCTCTTACTTAATATTCTCTTGACTTTAATCTAATTTGGAGCGATTCTTTCATTTGTATCATTATCTCGAACAATGCACGTTTTTATTGTAGCTAGAATTACATGCATATTTACAAACAAAATTTAAATAACTATAAGTACAGGCCCTAGCTAATAACTATAAAGTTAAAAAGAAGATTTAAGAATGGGAGTTTGACCTAGAAAACATCTCCAACTCTCTTTAACTCGAAGTGAGAACATGTTTTGAATGGGAATGATTTCGTCTTTTGAATGCCAAGGATTTTGATCGGCAGGCCCGGTGGAAGACGTTATTCAAAACCTTGTGGTCATCTAAGAATGAACGATTGATGGATGGATGAGTGGTTGGATTGATGGATGGATTGAATGGACTGGATTGGATTAATGGGTGGTCGGATGGGGAATTATGTAATATTTAATTCATTCAAAATATAATTATAAGTAGGTTTAAGTACAAACATTGTTTGAGGACTGTATTCCGATTTCAAGACTGGTGCTCTAGCTTGGCATGTACCTTATTGAAGGTCTTTCGTGAGACCAGTTCATTTTGAGGCTTATAAGTCAGCCTTTCACATAAATTAAAATAAATCTTCATCTCTTGAAAAGTCACTATTGTTCGATATATCAGAGATTTTACTAATGGCAATGACAGGGTATTAAAGCCCAGACTCGCGATGAGTGTATATGCTCAGAAATATCTGTATGTAAAAATATACACTTATTTCAACAAAGTTAGTCGCCTGAAAAGATACAAAGTTGAGACCAACAAGGATTATGGGTAGTTACATTTTACATGTTTCAAGCGCTTTGATAACTGTTGATAGATTTTAGATCTTTTACCAGTTACAGTCTCACCTTTTCTGAGCATCCTCAAGCTGCAAATTGTATCAAAAGCTTTACTTGTTTGATATTAAAAGCTTCCCCTGATCCTCTAGGTTTATTGAAACAAGTGTATGCTATTAGAATAAAATAATGTGTTGGTCGTTGGAATCGTAATAAATGATACTTATATACTCATTTGTCTCACGACTGAGAGAGGTACATTTGAAGAGGACTGCAGCGGACCTCTAAACACGACCCACCATCAATAATTTGAGACAAATGAATAAGAACCATATATATGATATATGATATTTTCATCACCTTGGGAACAATACATTCCAGCGCAAACAACGATATCACAAGCAATAATTCCAACAACAGGTTCAGTTTGAATGTTTGTTCGGTTGAGAAATTTCATCTCGGCCTGCACAAATAATTCATTAATATGGAAACATGCTTTTGGTAGTCAATTTGTTTATTAGTTTAGGAAACTAACAGGGTTTAGAGTTCAATTTGGGATTAATTTGCACGAATGCGTTTTTCAGACAATTGAAATTTCAGCTCTTTGAAAAACACACGAGTGCAAATTATCCCAAATTGAACGAGAAATTATAAAAAAAACATTATAAAAGAAAGAGATGAAAATATGTGAAATATTCAACGCTTATGAAATTCGATCGCTCTCAACCAACTATATTCAAAGCGATTTTGGTTTCAAATAGATGTAATTCACATATTTGATTATTTATTTTAAACCAAAGTTTGGCTATATATCATGATTGTAAAAAAAATTTTTCTCTTTAAAGTAAATCTGAATCACTATGAATGAGGACATTTGTATAGGCTGACTTTGCAGCTAAGTGGAGTTGTACGTTGTAAAAAATTATACCTGACAGTTGTCGAACGTGTTCAGAAAACTTTGCGGCTCAGTATTGGGATCTTGTAGACCAAAATATCGTATAAGCACTTACCACATCGTGTTTAATGGTTTTTTCCTTGCTCATAGTCTTTTTCGTTTCTGTTTTAGCTTTTGCTTTACTTCTGCAAAGAATCCCTCAATGTCATAGATAGAGGATATTACATGTGTTGAAAAGATCTCTCGCGAGTGGGCGCAGCGAAAGAGTGAGAGATTTTCAACACGAGAAGATAAATTTCGTATCTCCAAGCGCCCATGTAATATTCTGTTTATTATATAATTATCCATAAAATCAACTTAATAAGCTTTTTATTATTATAACTAACTAACTAATAGCTTAAATACACATGGTAACGATATTTTCACATGTGAAAATATCAGTTTTTCGAAGAAGAGAAAAATAGGTATTTTATGGATAATTATATGATAATTTGTTTTCTTCTCACTATTTCTTCCATATATTCAGCCATAACGATGTACTTTTACTTGTGTTTTCTTTTTTGAACGTACTGTTTTTTAGTTGTTTGATAGTAAAATCCGTAAAATTGCTGCCATTTCCCCCCCTCGATTTGCTAAATTTCCCTCAAATTTGTCGTCATAAAAATCTGCCTCCTTGTCAAAATCATTTTAATTTGTTTATTATGCAGTCAAAAGTGAGAATTCCGTTCGTAATTTGCACTCTCTTACACTTTTCTGCACTGAATTACACTTTTTTGAACTTAATTACGCTTAATTTTAACAACACTTCTCTAAGTCAATCAGATTTGAGTATTTTTTTCACGTATGTTTTTATTAATATGATAACTTTGCTTAGTGTATTACCAAAACACACCGCCATTTTCCTATTTACTTCTTTTTTTGTTTGAGTAAAAAAAAAATGGCGGTTAGATATTGAAAAAACTGAAAAGCTTAGGTTACTTTAAAAGTGTTAAAACATGGGAAGTTTTGGTAATGCAGGAAGAAATTGTCTGAGCCGGTACCAAACGTCACTGAGTGCAATGTCTTCGATGATTTTGATATTCATTGTTACTAATATTAAAATTTATATTAAGTTTGGTTAGAAAACATATAACCATATTCTATATATATCTTCAACTGACAGCTCTTTCATCAAATAAAAAATGGAATTGAGATGTCGCAGAATGCCTGGACATGATATGTTGCCTTTGACGCCTCATTTGCATACGTTAGTAATCACTGAAGTTATAATAAGATATTATTACATTTTTATGACAGATGTTTTCGGTAGGTAATTGAAATTTATTAGTGAGCGAATCTTTCATTTGTATTAATATTTCGAACAACGCATGGGGCCGAATCTCTAAAGATTTAAGAAGAGTATTTTGACCGCGTAAACTACTCCAAGTTTTAACTCGAAGAGGGAACATCTTTCGAATGGGAAGATTTCATTAGGCAACCCTGATGGATGACAACGCCATTCGAAACATTGTGATTACCGTTGTTGGAGCTTTACTGATATTCTTTGGCATTTGTGGTAACTCGTTGGTAGCCATTGCAATCTGGAAAAAAAATTACCTTCGATCTACAGCCAATTATCTTTTGTTGAACGTAGCCCTTGCTGACATTACAAGCCTGACATTCCTACCTCTAGTGCTTGTTTCAATATACGGCAAATTCCAACAAGGAATTACAGCAGATTTACTTTGCAAGTTTCTTATTTCTGTTCACATACCTCTCACTGCAAATTTTGCTGCAGTCTTTACTCTGGTTGTGTTGTCAGTAGAGAAATACCATGCTATAGTGAAGCCAATGAAGTCGGGCTTTAGACTTAGAGAGGACACCGTGAAATACGCTATTATTGTCGTATGGACAAGTGCCATAGCGATGACTTTGCCAATGTACATTTTTGGAAAATATGCAAGGTACAAGACAAAACTGTTTTGTGATTATGACGCTACAGAAGATGCAATGAGCCCCTATCTTTATGTTCTGGCTGCTATCGTTATTTTCATTCCATTCATCGTCATCAGTTTCTGTTACTTTCAAATCGTTCGTGAGCTGTATTTCAAGAACAAAGTGGCACCACAGAACGTAACAACTGCAGCAGAAGATAACATTGCCAAACGTAAGCTCGTAAAGCTTTCCCTCTCGATTACCTTAGCTTTATTAGTCTGTTTCTTTCCTCTGGCCTTGTCAATGTGCCTGAGGGCTTATAACAAGGAAAAACTTAAAAGTAAATACATTCAAGATTTTGGTTCCCTCTTGTACGTACTTAAGGTAGTGTTAAATCCATTCCTGTATGCATTTCAGAGCACCAATTTTCGGCAGGCTTTTAAGGAAATGCTCAAGTCTAAACTGTGTCCCTGCTGCAAATAATCAGTTATATTGAATAATTACATAGTCATCTCGTTCATATAGCAAGCGCTTTTCCGAACTTCGTTCCATTTTACGAAAAAGAATCGAACGTTTCATTAGTTTGTTTAGGGAACGTTAAATAGCCATTTCGTTTATTTATTTATTTAAGGAAAGATAGAGAATGGTAAATGTAGGAATCAAAGAAGGAAGAATGGATGAATGAATGAATGGATGCATGGAATGGAATGCATTGATGCATCGGTTGGTTGGTTAAATTTAAAAAATTACTTCATTCAAAGCAAACATCGCTTGGGATCAGTATTTCAATGTCATGACTGGACCTCTAGTTTTGCGGGTACCCTATTGATGGTCTTTCGTGAGACCGCCAATTTGGAGGTGTCAATTTAGAGGTTCATAAGTCAGTCTTTCATATAAACTGAAATATATTTTCATCTTTGGTCAAGTCAATGTATACTAATGACGATGACGGGGTAATAAAGCCCAGACACTTGATGAGTATATGTATTATATCTATATGATATGTATATGTGTATATATTTACCGTATTTAGATAGGTTTCAACTCAGAAATATATGTATATAAATAGAAATTCCATTAGTAGAAAGAAAAATATTATTCATCGTGGATTATTACTTCTTTATTGATATCTATTTATAGTGAGATAAACGAATAAGTATCATTTATTATATGCCTGCTATTGTTATCACTTTGGGAACAGTACATCCAAGGTATAGCGTAAATAACAATATCACAAAGAATAAACCTAGCTCCAGATGGTTTTCTGGTAAACTCACTAACGTGTACTTTTGGTTTTAGCTCAGTTTGAATGTCTTATTTCGGTTGCAATTTTTCATCTTGTAAATTTACATTGTGGCTACGTACAATGTGGGAATAATTCATTGACACCGAAACATGCTCAGTTTTGCTTGTTATTTCCTGATTTAAATTCAATAGCTTTATTCTGTCTCATTAACAAAAGGCATCCCATTTTCATATTTTCGTCTTATTTTGTAAAAGTAAGAAAACTGGCGATTAGATATGACGTGAAGTGTATCCCTTTCAGTTTAGCCGGTATTTTTTTTAAATATTATTTTATTTAATAACAACATAAATCATGAGTACACATAACAAATAATATGTGTACTCATGATTTATGTTTGTTATTAAATAAAATAATATTTAAAAAAAAAAAAAAAAAATACCGGCTAAACCGAAAGGGATACGCTTCACGTCATACCTAATCGCCAGTTTTCTTACTTTTACAAAATAAGATGGCCGGTATTATAAAAACTGAAATATTGGGTTACTTCTGAAATTGCGTTAAAACATAAGGGAACGTTATTTTAGTAAACAGGAAGATGTTGTCTAAACCAGTCCCAAACGTCAGTGCAATGTATGTCTTTGATGCTCTTGGACATTGATGAGTCAAATTTATATTAAGTTTAGTTAGAAAATGGCCATACAGACTTGTATTACTTCCCGTGAAGAAAGTTAATGAAATCGCGTAGAAAAGACAGCGAAACCTTCTTTTTCAGTAATACCGGACAGTTTTGAATCGTCAACATTTTCTTTCACTATATTAAGATCTGCTATCTTCAACTGACGACAGCTCGTTCGCTGAAATATGAATTTGAATTTATGATAAAGTACTATGAAATTCATATGACAGATGTCTTCTGTAAGATTTGTTAGTGAATGATTCCTTTATTTGTATTATTATTTCGAACAATGTATGGAGTCGAGCCTCTAAAGATTTAGAATGGTGTTTTGAACTCGTAAACAACTCTAACTCTCTTTAATTCTAAGAGCGAACATTTTGAATGGGAAGATTTCGTTAGGCAGACCGCATGGAAGACAACATTATTCGAAACGTTGTCGTTACCTTTGTTGGAGTTTTACTGATATTCGTTGGCATTTGTGGTAACTCGTTGGTAGCCATTGCAATCTGGAAAAAAAATTACCTTCGATCTACAGCCAA